GAGAGAGAGAGAGAGAGAGAGAGAGAGAGAGAGAGAGAGAGAGAGAGAGAGATGTAGCTTGCACGACCGTGTGTGCTAGTTGTACATGTGTATGCTGTATGCTGTGCTGTGTGGATCGCGAAAACGCGGTGCAACCATTGAACTTACGGCGAAATAGGTGTCGATTCGGGTTCCACCGCCTTCTGGTTGTTGAGACAGTGTGGTTTGGGCGCCGGGCGGGGGGCGTTTCCCACCAGCAAAAGGCCGACGCCATGGACGATGTCGGACGTATGTTCGACTGGGAGGATGAGGCCCTCGAGGAACGCTGCCTAGATTTACAGGATAAGGTACGAACGAGGCCGACGCTGTGAACGAATTCACGCCGCATTTTTTTTGTCACAGAACTAGAAACAAGCGCATCTGCCCGACTGTGCGATTGTCAACAAGACGATTACCCTCATCACTGAAAGCTTTCAATGCATCCCCTATTGAGTGTTGCCTTGGACGGGTGTACCTCTATTATTCGGTGCATACGGTATCGTAAGACACCAATATTACGCAACAAATAATTCACCAAGAAGGGCGGACCGCGTTTCCGCATGTGTGTGGCAGAATATCAGCACGAGCGACATCGGCGCGTTCCTCCAGTCGTTGGACGGGCTCCATGACGTCAGTTCTTTAAAGGTCGTCAACCTAGCCGGCAATCGTGTGGGGTCCAAACGCGAGAGCATGGTGCCGATCGATACCCTGCTCACAGCATCTGCAAGAAGTCTCACGGCGCTGAATTTTTGTGGGTGAGCTTGTTGGTGATTCTTTCAGAGTAGAATCCGATAAGTTTTTCACCACAGCATTTCTGGCGGTCAAGTTCTACAGATTGACTTCAAATGATGTAGCATGGATGAAACCAGTTATATTTTGGGCTGAGGTGCATTCTTTGCTCAGGGCATCGAACCTGAAGCACCCCTCGCGGGAGCTTTCGCAGACCGGTTGTGATAAAAAGTGATTCGAGTGTTTGTCGGGATATTTAGCCGTGGCCGTTTTTAGGCTGTAGCCACGGAAGGCGTCCGCGCCAGTTGGACCAGCAGAGCACGAATTTTGAGGGCGCTGAGCAGAGATCAGAGCGGCATTTGACGTGAAGACAACAGCAACTATAACAACAATCACAGAATTGAAGCTCGCTTTCAATCAAGAATGGAGACACACTCTAGGCAGCGCGCGGTGTCACAGTTGGTATTGCGGCTGAAACGAGAGGCAGGCACGTCGCTCTGAGGCTGTAATGGCCATAGACAATGCGAATCACCATAGTACCACTCGCACAACCGTCGGAGCTCGTGGCTGCGTATCGCACGAATAGCTCCATTCACAATAAACCTCCAGACCCAGGCAGCGTTTCCAGTAATACGGCCATTGTCAAAACACCTTCGCAGCGTCGGTCGATTAACGGTCAATCACGCATCGGTGCAGCAATCCGCTTGGGGAGGAGCAGCGATACGTTGGGCCTTTGGTGGCGCTGGCAGACACGCTGACGAGTTTGTCTCGCCTCAAGGTGCTGGACCTGTCGAACTGCACCCTTATCGGCCTGTCGGGGAACCGTTACCACGGCCTCAACGCGCTTGGAAACACCTTGGCGAGTGGCAAGAAATTGACACACCTCAGGTGCAACACACTTGGCAAACAATACATTTCGTTTGAGACACTCCGTTGTAAGGTAGTCTAGCACACAGCCGGCAAGTGTTAATGTTTTGCGACGGTCTATTGGGGCATTGTTACTGTAATTTCGAAGTACAGAAGTCAGTCGATAGTCTACGAGTTCTCATCATGTATTTTAGTTCCAGAGTACTTCTTGTAGACTACTGTAGAACGAGGTATAGTGTGTTCGCTAGCGCGATTGCAAAATTGTCGTAGACGCTGTAACCCGTGCCCCCAATCAATTTCTCGCAGAACCAATGCACAATTATGTACATGTGTGGTCCAAGAAGATTTCTGAGGGAAGCAGCAGCTGGTGTTGAAAGGTCGTCTCGGGGACTTGGTTGAGATTCGAACGACGTGCACCCTGATTCTGTCTAACCGAATCCTAACGCGAAGCTCCTGGTGTGCGTTTCCTTTCAACTTACTCCTGGGTTGCGGCAAATGCTTCCCCTCCCCCCCCACTTGCACCCCCGCTGTTCGGGGCAGAATATCTGGCAACCGCCTCCACAGTGAAGCCGCGCTGATTGTCGGCGGCTGGTTGCCCTCTTTGCCCAAGCTGCGGTACCTCGACTTGTCCAGGTGATGCGCTTTCGTTCTATGCTCCAACTTCTGCAGAGTCCCATTTTATTCATTCCGAAGGGCTTGAGTAGAGACGCGCCCCTTCCGTGTTTTGCACTGGTGTCAGGTTTCAAGGATGTTTGCGGTTCGATTTTTGTCTTTGAGGAAGAGGCGCGCTGTACACTCTACCAACGCTTCAGCAGAGAGAGAGAGAGACTCGACTTCCCACCGTGCGTACCCCGCCAACTGCTTCTCGGCTCAGAAATCCTCTAGCCCACGACCCTCTCGGCCAACGCAGCCGGTCGGGCTTCGATCCGTTGTGCGGAGCCTTCCGCACATCCTTGCACCTGCGAACCCTGCTCCTGCGTGATGTCGGCATGGACGACCTGGAGGCGGAAGGAGTGGCGTCGTTCTTGGCGCTCTCTGTTCGCCTCGAAAAGCTGGATCTTTCTGAGAATCAGGTTTATTTGTTTATTATGTGCGAAAAATCGATCATAACCTGCGTGTTCTTTAGATCTTCTGATGGCTCTAGCATTTTTGGGACCACGGACCGAGTCTTTGCTAGATTTCGGGATGAGCAACCGGCACGAGTTTAACGTGAAGACAACAACAGCAACAGCACCAGCAACAACAACAACAAAAACAACAACAACAACAACAACAACAACAACAACAAAGCAATATCATCTGAGCGAATATGCCTAGCAGGTGGGTAGTACATGCGTTTTGATCGAAGCAATCTCAGACGCAGTCGTGTCGTTGTTGTGACGAACACATGCTCAAATCACATACGGAGTATTGTCGATGACAACACGCTCTGTCTGAGCGTATTCATCGATGTCCTTCCCTCGGCTTAATAGATTTTGGCATGCTACACCAACAAACCCCTTCACCGGTCGTTCCCTAACCCCCAACAGCTGGGAATCCAGTACGAAGGCAACTTGGGTTCTTTCCCCCCTACGGCCTATTTTTCTGTTTGATAGCTACACGTGCGCGGCGCAAGGTGCCTCGCCGGAGCGCTGCGCTCGAATGGATCGCTGTCGTCGCTGCTCCTGGGACACAACCGAATCGGGAATGAGGGGGCGCTGTTGCTGGCGGGTAGCGTTCCGCATGCCGCAAGCCTGGTCGAACTAGAGTAAGAGAGATAACATAACGTCTGGCTGGCCAGCCGCACTCACGTGTGTCATGGTGACATTGTGCTTTCGATTTCTATGCGTTCTAGACGCTCTTGTTGTGTGTCTCTCATCACCTTCGTCACTGCGGCACTTGTCATGACTACAATCATCAAGGTGATTTCCTTGGTCACAAGCGCCCACTTGCAAGAGCCGTTTCGCTTCTAGAATTTTACAGGAGCGGCTTCTAGCAATCTGCGAGACGAATCCTTTCAGCTCCAAAAACATAAACTCAACGAAACGAGAATGCTGTCTCAGAAAATGAGCGACATGAGAACGAGGTGGGGCTACCTCATACACCACCTCCTAGCCGATTGCAAGCCCTTGTGATGGTGGTAGACAGAACGGTGGACCTTTGATCTAACACGTCATTTCAGCAGAGTAGAGAACCTCTTCCTTTGCGAGTCAATCTGACCATCTCTCTGCTCACACCCATTCTACGAAGAAAATACTTCCAGGTATCCGCCCAACCTGCCTGCCGGATAGTGTGTTACCCCCTCCTAGAAGATATCCTCAGGAAAAACTTGTTCCGTATCCCGGACTATTGCTCGTTCTCGCGAAAAAAAGGGCAGTGCCGAACTCTCGAAGTACCTCTGCTGCCCGGCCCGCATAAATACTTTGTCGTGTATTCTCAGCGTGTCGTCGAACGGGCTGACTGGTGGCAACAACGGGGGTGGCAGCGGTGGTTACACCAAGAAGAGCGTGAAGGAAGGGTTCATAGAAGCGGCGCTGGCGTCCTTCTCCATCGAAACCATTAGGCGAGTGCCACCGTACAACGAGAGAGCCATCGTGTTGATTGACACCAACCGTGCGCGGATTGACTCGTCTTGCGGCACTTGCTTATTTGAAGATAGTTGAGGATCAGAGTGTTTTCTTTCTTATGAAGAAAGAAGAACAGCACACTTCTCGTTCGGGGTAAAATGTTTTGGATCCCTGAATTACTGTATGTTGGTTCCTTAGGGTTTTCGAGTTGTGGGCACTACAAGGGCTCGAATTTGCCGAAACCGCAACAAAACCGAGAGAGAAATACGACTTCCCATGATTTCTTATACCTGCTCCGTGGCGGAGCAATAGCATTTTTTGTTTCTGGCTGTGTAGGAAAGGTACTGTACGTACGTCAGCGGGCCGTTGGTTGAAGAGGAAAACACTTTCAAGAATAGGCCATACTGCAATGGTGCCCATCTCTTACTCCAGCCAGCATCTACGTGTTGTACCCGCGGCCTTCTCCTCGCCCACCGGCTTTCCTGTGCAGGCTGTCGGGGAACGATATCCCCCCCTCTGACGTTGAGGAGATGCAGGAGTACGCCTCATCGAACGTCGAACTACGGGCCGTCGCAGATGTGAGAGAAGGGAGGGACACAGCGATGAGTGGTGCCGCCCTTTGGCAAGCAAAGAAATAACGGTTCACATCCATTCACGATCCCGCTCGTCATCACACATGAGCGTGATTCACCCCTCTTTGAGGAACACAGGCCCGTCACCAAGCATGATGGGGTGTCGAAAAACTTGTGGCGAGGCAGTCTTCACGAAACACCTGGAAATGCCAAGAGTTTTCATTCTGCCCAAAGTGAAACAGCACGCAATTTCCACTCATGTTCTGTTTTCATCTTGAAAATGCGCCCATGTTGTCCGTCCCCAACCACCTCGTAGTCAACAGATGCGTACATTCTCCTTAGGGCTGCGCCCCGAAGGTGTTAGTCGACGAAATTGTGGCGCACAGCATTCTATTGTTGGCGTTTTTCGAACACATTCAATGTTGTGCCTAGAAACAGCTGCACTTGGTACGCAATGTACAAAGTAGCCAGCGATTTAGCAACACATCTGTGAAAAGAGGGGATCGCCCTTGACATACTCTAAGGAAGGTGGGACTTTTCGCCATGATAACCGCTGGGGGAGGTTGACGGGAGGACTCCTTCGTCTTTAGCCGGGCTGAGTGCGTCACAACGTTCTGGGCGGAAAGGAAGAAAAACGACTATTTATTATTGTACAATACTATAGCCAATATACCAGTACGTACAGGTCGCCTCTGCATTAGACTACACGCGAGTGAGTACGTATGTGCTTTCATTCACAGGCGCCGGAGAGCTACGACTTGTGGCAAGCATCCGAAATAGTCGAAACCTGCCTGGTGGCCAAGTTCGACCGCCTGCCACCGGGCGTTGCGGACGCCCTGAAGAAAAACCCCACCTTTGTCGAAGAAGAGGGGCCGATGCGAGAGGCGGTCTTGGCTGCCTCGCCCCTCACCAAGCAAGAGCTATTGAGGAACAGCCCCGGAGCGGAGGATATCGCCATGAAGGTTGGATGTGGATGTGGAGGGAGGGGGAGGCTGTGATACGTACATGAACGAGTCTCTTCGCTAAGTGATTCCCCTCAATATTAGGGAGAAGTCGAGGACGCTTGGTGTGCGTGCGTAAAAGAACACATCGAAGGTGCATCGGGGCGGGGCCGAGGTGGAATTCATCGCCGTTTCCCGAGCTAGTGGTGCTTTGCGAGCAGCTGAAACGTTTCTTCCGAGAAGCCTAGGGTTGGAGAGGGTTGAGATGTTGGCGTATTTGCGAAGGCGCAGCTCACCCTTGGGGGGTGAAACCGTGGTGACCCAACTGTGGAATGGGGGAACGCACCGACCGCTTGGCTTGGATGAAAGAGGGTTGGCGTTCCGTACCGCAACACATGTAGGCACTTGTCATAGCAGTCGACCAACACCTTGCTCCGTCTCAATAACAACAAGTCCCCTCCCCGCTCTCTTCCTCCGAATGCCTCTTTCCCCAAACGACACCAAAACGCAGGCGAAGGTGTTTGCAGACAGTCCGTCTTCATGGACACAGTCCGCAATCGATGCTCCCGAAGACTTCATGGCGCTGGGCGAAGGAGGGCCCGACGGTCCCCCACTTCTCTGAGCGAGGCCCTCTCGCCTACTGTTTGTAATCTCCTGCAGCTGCAACGTATAATTGTCTCCTTATCGGCGACATTTTTGCACCAACTCGGCTCCGCATGTGCGGTCCAACCCGATGGATACCGTTTGGCGTTTGGCATCGCATGTAGGGCGATACGCACAAGAGAATCGTGAGGCACGGAGCTGGGTACGTGTAGAGCATCATGGGTTCGTGAGGTGACGATGCTTCTTCTCGGTCCCTGAGACGTTTTTAACTTTCGACTTCGGCACACAAATGCAGCGTCCATCTCTCTCTTCTTTCTTGTTGGGCGATCGATGTAGACTGAACTTTTTGTACTCTTAATTTGTCGCCCGTCGTCAAGGTTCTAAATCAAACCCTGTAAGTAGCACCATTCGGTAGGGAGACGCGTTACAATGTGGCTACATATTTAGTTCCACGACATGATGGGAGATTCGAGACCGTCGGGTAGGCGTGTGTAGCCAAACCAACACGGCCATTAGTTGAAACCGACGCTCATGGAGCTATCGCATGGGGCGAGGCAACGGGGTCCGGTGGCTAGGCAGAGAGTTTGGCATCCCTGGAGAGCAATCCGAGGGCCGTCTTGGGCGAGTTCTGGGCCTTTGGGGGATCCACCGGCGCGGGTGACAGATACTGGGGAGGCGAATGATCCTGGTACTGGCACCTCGGCAATCACCGAGCACAACGGCAGCTTTTACGTTGTGACAGCGGCCAAAAAGGCGGCTTGATGCCTCTTGTTGGGCGAAACGAAATCGAAATTTTTACCCTCTCCCTCGTCGTCATATCCGCTCGGTGTACCACGTTGTAAAATCAATCTCCACTAATTTGCACACATCAGGCGTTACAAAACCGCTTGGTGCAACGACAGGTTGGGCGTGCGGGCACTCCAACGATCCAGCCCGTAAGTACCTACATACTCCGTTAGACCGTTCCGGTAGAAGGACCGGCGTGTTCTACCACTGCACACTGCTCGTGTCTCTGTTCATCCTTGAACCCAAAACAAAAGCCTATCTAGCACTCATAATGTACTTATCCTTGCAGCACGCCGGCTATCGGAATCGCCTACACGTATGCATACGCCTTCTTCACGAGCTACTCCCCACTGTTTGCGTACTCCTTGCAGTGCGGCCGCTATCGGAATCGCCTACACACGTTACGCCTTCTTAATGAACTACTCCACTGTTAGCGTACTCCTTGCAGCACGGCGGCCATCGGAAGCGCCTACACGCTACGCCTTTTCATAAACCTCGTTGCCACGGCGGCCACCACTATCGCAACGGTCCCGAACAAGAGCCCGGAGGCCACGGCGTCCTCCCTCTCGACCCCCCGCAGGATGTCCCCGTATCTCTTGTCAGCCGAGTTGACGGTCATCATCGAGGGCGGCGTGAATATCTGTTGCCAAGGATCGGGTGCGTGCAAACACCACAGACCAAGAATGAGACCCAAACCAAGCGAGTTGGGGGGGGGGG